CGCGGGGGAAGGCCCGCTTGACATTGTGCACTGAACGTAGTGCAGGTTTCTTTTGGGTTGGATGGCGTAAATCTAAATGCCGTCCCGTTAAACCCGTCAGCACCCGACACAGCCAATTAGTGAGGTTTGTCTCGTGAACAGAAGGTGGCCAATGCGTTACTAGTACAGTACTAGTGTGTAGTGTAGTATACTAGTACAGCACTAGTGTGTAGTGTATAGTGTAGTATACTAGTACAGCACTAGTGTGTAGTGTATAGTGTAGTATACTAGTACAGCTGTAGTGTATAGTGTAGTATACTAGTACAGCACTTGTGTGTAGTGTATAGTGTAGTATACTAGTACAGCACTAGTGTGTAGTGTATAGTGTAGTATACTAGTACAGCACTAGTGTGTAGTGTATAATGTAGTATACTAGTACAGCACTAGTGTGTAGTGTATAGTGTAGTATACTAGTACAGCACTAGTGTGTAGTGTATAGTGTAGTGTATTGTGTAGTGTACTAGTACAGCACTAGTGTGTAGTGTATAGTGTAGTGTATTGTGTAGTGTACTAGTACAGCACTAGTGTGTAGTGTATAGTGTAGTATACTAGTACAGCACTAGTGTGTAGTGTATAGTGTAGTATACTAGTACAGCACTAGTGTGTAGTGTATACTAGTACAGCACTAGTGTGTAGTGTATAGTGTAGTATACTAGTACAGCACTAGTGTGTAGTGTATAGTGTAGTATACTAGTACAGCACTAGTGTATAGTGTATAGTGTAGTATACTAGTACAGCACTAGTGTATAGTGTAGTGTATAGTGTAGTATACTAGTACAGCACTAGTGTGTAGTGTATAGTGTAGTATACAAGTACAGCACTAGTGTATAGTGTAGTGTATAGTGTAGTGTATAGTGTAGTATACTAGTACAGCACTAGTGTGTAGTGTATAGTGTAGTATACAAGTACAGCACTAGTGTATAGTGTAGTGTATAGTGTAGTGTATAGTGTAGTGTATAGTGTAGTATACTAGTACAGCAACACCGGTGTGGCGGAGAGCCACGACATTTACACTTTAAAAATATTGTAAATGTTAGTAATTAGTAAGGTTTGTCACGTAAACAGAACATGCCAATTCGTTACTAGTACAGCACTAGTGTGTAGTGTAAAGTGTAGTGTACTAGTACAGCACTAGTGTATAGTGTAGTATACTAGTACAGCACTAGTGTGTAGTGTAGTGTGTAGTGTACTAGTACAGCACTAGTGTGTAGTGTAGTGTATAGTGTAGTGTACTAGTACAGCACTAGTGTGTAGTGTATAGTGTAGTGTACTAGTACAGCACTAGTGTGTAGTGTATAGTGGAGTGTACTAGTACAGCACTAGTGTGTAGTGTATAGTGTAGTATACTAGTACATCACTAGTGTGTAGTGTAAAGTGTAGTATACTAGTACAGCACTAGTGTGTAGTGTAGTGTACTAGTACAGCACTAGTGTATAGTGTAGTATACTAGTACAGCACTAGTGTGTAGTGTATAGTGTAGTACAGCACTAGTGTGTAGTGTATAGTGTAGTATACTAGTACAGCACTAGTGTGTAGTGTATAGTGTAGTATACTAGTACAGCACTAGTGTGTAGTGTATAATGTAGTATACTAGTACAGCACTAGTGTGTAGTGTATAGTGTAGTGTAAGGTTTGTCACGTAAACAGAACATGCCACTTCGTTACGAGTGCAGCACACCGATGTATTGGAGAGCAAATCCACAACAACTACAATCTTTTGTCAAGATGTGCTGTACTTGGTAACGAATTGGCCACGTTCTGTTTACGTGGCAAACGTCACTAATTGGCTGCGTCGGGTGGTGGCGGGTTTAACGGCACAGCATTTATATATGTACGCGATTTTAAATACGTAAATGTGGTCGCGGAAGGCTACGTGTTAAATCGTACACTGCATAGCCATAAGCGAGCACCTTCACATGGTGCTGTGGGCAACTCCACGCTGGGCCGCCGCCTCGTTTAAATGTTTTTGCACACACCGCACCGGGCACACATATATATTTTTTTCATCAAAGGCCGAGTCGACCCTGGGTGGAGGCCCGGGACCGGTTCAGAGAAGCCGTCACTGGTGGTGTTGGCCGCGGGCGGGAATCGAACTCGGGGCAGTCTGTTGAGGCTACGCGGGGGGGATGGTACACGAGCGAGTGGGTGGCGAGCGCCACGCCCGGCCGCCTTTGTCTCCCCAGTGGCGGGGTTGTTTACACACCGCACCGGATGCCCATTTGAGGCCGAGCCGACCTAGGGGAGGCCCGGGAACGGGGTTCGGTTTAATCGTCCGTGGTGTTGGCCGCGTGCGGGAATCGAATTTCGGATCGCCGGGTTGGTCACGCGGCGCTAACCACTGCACCGCCGCCCCCTCCCCCACTGCACGAAGACAAATAAAGGCACGTGATGGCACACGCACAACAACACGCAACAACACAACAACAACACACGCACAGCACGCACAACAACAACACCACACGCACAACACACACACAACACACGCACAACACGCACAACAACACACGCACAACAAACACAACAACACACAACACACACACCAACACAAGCACAACACACACACAACAACACAGCACACAACAACCGCACAACACACGCACAACACACGCACAACACACGCACCACAACACACGCACAACAACACACACACCAACACCACACCAACACACGCACAACAACACACACAACAACACACACAACACGCACAACAACACACACAACACACGCACAACAACGCACAACACACGCACAACACACGCACAACAACACACGCACAACAACACACGCACAACAACACACGCACAACACACGCACACCAACAACACACGCACAACAACAACAGACGCACAACAACAACAGACGCACAACACACGCACACCAACACACGCACAACAACACGCACAACAACACACGCACAACAACACACGCACAACAACACACGCACAACAACACACGCACAACAACACACGCACAACAACACACGCACAACAACACACGCACAACAACACACGCACAACAACACACGCACAACAACACACACACAACACGCACCACAACACGCACCACAACACGCACAACAACACGCACAACAAACACACCACACACAAGAACACACCCAACAACACGCACAAGAACACACGCACAACATATGCACAACAACACACACAACACACAAGAACACACGCACAACACACAAGAACACACGCACAACACACACAACACGCACAACAACAACACACGCACAACACAACAACAACACACGCACAACACGCACAACACACACACAACACACGCACAACAAACACACAACAACACACAACAACACGCACAAGAACAACAACAACAACAACCGCCATTCGCCACTAAGTGGCGGTGACGTCACCACGACGCTTGTGCCAGGCTATGTGCACCGTGAGGCCACGTGAAGTGTCGAACGCCCGCTGGCAGGAGGTCACTGGGCAGACCCAGGTGCCACGGGTCGACTGACTGAGATGACTGGCTGATGCACCACCTGTGCCCCCTACTGTGCCACAAGAACACACACAACAACACGCACAAGAACACACAACACACACAAGAACACACGCACAACACATACAACACGCACGACAACACACACAACAACACAACAACACACGCACAACACACAACAACACACGCACAACAACACACAATACAACACACAACACACAGCACAACACACAACAACAACACACACAACAACACACAACAACACACGCACAACAACACACGCACAACAACAACACACACACACAAACAACACGCGTTTGCTCGTGCACGCGCGAGCGCGCCCTGGCACGCGCTCGCGCGTTAGCGGCTGGCGCAGTGGGTCCGTCCGTGTGTGTGAGACCTCGTCGCGTAATTTGTGTCGGCAGGTACGTTAGCGCTTCAAGCTCGGCTCCGGTGCCCTAATCCGATGGGGGGGGGGGGATTTGCACTCAGTTTGTCGCTTGAACCCCTCGGCGTGCGTCGTTGGGTGTTTCCGGCCGGTTTCGTTGTGTTCCTGTCCCCTCCCGCGAGACTTGAGACGCAAGATATGTCCATCGCGAATCCTGGGGTTGTCTCCTCGTCTCCGACGGTGAGTGATGGCCCCGAGGTTAGCTCGAGACACCGATCCCGAGACCCGGTCTCCAGACACCGATCCTGAGACCCGGTCTCAGGACACCGATCCTGAGACACTGATCCTGAGACCTGGTCTCAGGTTACCGATCCTGAGACCAGGTCTCAGGATACCGATCCTGAGACCAGGTCTCAGGATACCGATCCTGAGACCTGGTCTCAGGATACCGATCCTGAGACCAGGTCTCAGGATCGGTATCCAGGTCTCAGGATCGGTATCCTGAGACCAGGTCTCAGGATACCGATCCTGAGACCTGGTCTCAGGTTACCGATCCTGAGACCTGGTCTCAGGTTACCGATCCTGAGACCAGGTCTCAGGATACCGATCCTGAGACCAGGTCTCAGGATACCGATCCTGAGACCAGGTCTCAGGATACCGATCCTGAGACCAGGTCTCAGGATACCGATCCTGAGACCAGGTCTCAGGTTACCGATCCTGAGACCCGGTCTCAGGATCAGTGTCTCAGGAGACCGATCCCGAGACCCAGTCTCAGGACACCGATCCCGAGACCCGGTCTCAGGACACCGATCCACGGCGAGGAAAATTTGAAAAAAGTGGCGTTTTTTTTCCCTTCCAAATTTTCTTGCCGTGGTTTTCACATCTGATGATGGACGATTGCTTCTCGTGTTGCAGTCGAAACGTCGTGAGAATTTAATCGTTTTATATTTTTTATTCTTTTATTGTTTCCCCTATCTACGTGACCTTACCGAAAGAACCGAGAACACACACACACACACGTAAAACTCGCTTGGGTTCGTGCGTCAGTTGTCAGTGACGTTGCCCCGTCCGCGGTCCCTTAAACCCGACCCCCCCCCCGCAGAGTCCTCCAATCAAGTGGGTGCACCCATGAGCGCCCAGTCCCCTCACTCCACTATGAGCTCCCCGCCGCCCCTGGCTCACGGAGGGGCAGGGATGGGGGGCTCGAGGGTGATGGGGGGCCTGGGCGGAGGGGGCAGCGGGGCCGGAGGAGGAGGACCCCTGAACGGCCTGGGGTCCCCGTACCCCGTCATCAGCTCCTCGGGGCTGGGATCGCCCATCATCACTACGCAGGGCCTCGGCTACGGCAGCGGCATCGGGAACCCACAGGTGCAGTGTCGGTCGCGTTGGGGGGCGGGGGTTGGGGGGGGTGGTGACTGCGGTGGTGGTAGTAGTAGTGGTGGTAAGGGTTGTTTATGGTGGTGGTCATGAATGTGGTTGATGATGGTTGTATTGTGGTGTAGAGGATGGTAGCAGCAGTGGTTGGTGGTAATGATTGTGATGGTGGTAATGATTGTGATGATTGTAATGATGATGATGGTGGTGGTGATTGAGGTGATGGTAGCGTTGTGGTGTTGAGGATGGTAGCAGCAGTGGTTGGTGGTAATGATTGTGATGATGACGATGGTGGTGGTGATGATTGTCGTGATGGTAGAATTGTGGTGTTGAGGATGGTAGCAGTAGTGGTTGGTGGTAATGATTGTGATTATGGTGGTGGTGATGATTGTGATGATGGTGGTGGTGGTGATTGAGGTGATGGTAGCATTGTGGTGTTGAGGATGGTAGTGGTGGTGGTAATGATTGTGATGATGATGGTGGTGGTGGTAATGATTGTAATGATGGTGGTGGTGATTGTGGTGATGGTAGTATTTTGTTGTTGAGGATGGTAGCAGTAGTGGTTGGTGGTAATGATTGTGATGATGACGATGGTGGTGGTAGTAATGATTGGTGATGGTAGTATTGTGGTGTTGAGGATGGTAGTAGTGGTTGGTGGTAATGATTGTGATGATGATGGTGGTCGTAATGATTGTAATGATTCTGATGATGGTGGTGGTGATGATTGTGGTGCTGGTAGTATTGTGGTGTTGAGGATGGTCGAAGCAGTGGTTGGTGGTAATGATTGTGATGATTATAATGATGATGGTGGTGATTGAGGTGATGGTAGCATTGTGGTGTTGATGATGGTAGCAGCAGTGGTTGGTGGTAATGATTGTGATGATGACGATGGTGGTGGTGATGCTTGTGGTGATGGAAGCATTGTGGTGTTGAGGATCGTAGCAGTAGTGGTTGGTGGTCATGATTGTGATGATGACGATGGTGGTGGTGATGATTGTGGTGATAGTAGAATTGTGGTGTTGAGGATAGTAGTAGTAGTGGTTGGTGGTAATTATTGTAATGATCACGATGGTGGTGATGATGGTAGTATTGTGGTGTTGAGGATGGTAGTAGTGGTTGGTGGTAATGATTGTGATGATGACGATGGTGGTGGTGGTGGTGGTGATGATTGTGGTGATGGAAGCATTGTGGTGTTGAGGATGGTAGCAGTAGTGGTTGGTGGTAATGATTGTGATGATGACGATGGTCGTGGTGATGATTGTGGTGATGGAAGCATTGTGGTGTTGAGGATGGTAGTAGCAGTGGTTGGTGGTAATGATTGTGATGATGACGATGGTGGTGGTGATGATTGTGGTGATGGAAGCATTGTGGTGTTGAGGATGGTAGTAGCAGTGGTTGGTGGTAATTATTGTTATGATTGTGATGGTGGTGGTGATGATGACAATGGTGGTGGTGATGATTGTGATGGTAGCATTGTGGTGTTGAGGATGGTGGTAGTGGTTGGTGGTAATGATTGTGATGATGGTGATGATGGTGGTGGTGATGATTGTGGTGATGGTAGCATTGTTGTGGTGTAGAGGATGGTGGTTGGTGGTAATGATTGTGATGATGATGGTGGTGGTGATGATTGTGGTGATGGTAGCATTGTGGTGTTGAGGATGGTAGTAGCATTGGTTGTTAGTAATGATTGTGATGATGATGGTGGTGGTAATGATTGTGATGATTGTAATGATGGTGGTGGTCGATTGTGGTGATGGTAGTATTGTGGTGTTGAGGATGGTAGTAGTAGTGGTTGGTGGTAATGATTGTGATGATTGTGATTATGGTGGTGGTGATGATTGTGGTGATGGTAGTATTGTGGTGTTGATGGTAGTAGTAGTGGTTGGTGGTAATGATTGTTATCATTGCGATGATGGTGGTGGTGATGATTGTGATGATGGTGGTGGTGATGATTGTGGTGATGGTAGTATTGTGGTGTAGAGGATGGTAGTAGTAGTAGTGACGGTGGTGATGATTGTAATGATGGTGGTGGTGATTGTGGTGATGGTAGCATTGTGGTGTTGAGGATGGTAGTAGTGGTGGTGGCGGTGGTGACCTTACAAAGGTACTTGGTGGTTAGCCCCGCAATATTAACAGGAACTTATCGATCTTTCTACTCCAACGAGCTCCCTGAGATCATCGGATTGCCGCCTTCTCTAAGTACACCGAGGTTCAAGGCTCATTACCTGGGGTGGATTGCGCTTAAGCCTTGGGACACGTTGCCTCTGCCAAGAGGACAATCAAGAGTCGTCAGAGCTATTTGAGTCTCGTCTTGAAATTGGCCTTAACCCCCCCTTCCCCATCATGTCCTCGTCGTACCCTGCAGGTTCCGTTTCTTTGCTGCCTTCCGTACACGGCGGTGCCGCATTGGTGGGGATCTGCGGCTGAAATGCGTCGCTTTACTGACGTGAATAATTAGTGGTGTTCGGGGCTTCTTGGTGGCGGCGGGTGCGGTGGGCACGGTGATTTTTGGTCGTGGTGTTGTGTTGGCGGTAAGGATTTTGTGTTGGCGATGTTCATGGCCCGAGTTAAACATCATCATCATCATCATCCTCACCCCCCCCCCCCCATCAACACCAAAAATAGATCCCCCGTGTAGCCTCGACAGACTGTTTGGGGCAAGCGCTGTTTAGCGAGCAGGCACCTGTGAAGGCCGGCAGGCACGGCACGCGCCGGGGGTGGGTGGCCAGCAACCAACGCCCGGCCGCCTTTGTCTCCCCAGCGGCGATTGTGTACGCAACGCACCAGCTACTCATTTGAGGCTGAGTCGACCTAGGGGAGACCCAGGACCGGTTCAGGTAATCGTCGCCGGTGTTGGCCGTGAGCGGGGAAAATCGAACCCGGGCCGCCGGGTTCGTAGCGCAGCGCGACGCTAACCCGCTACACCGCCCCCCCCCCCCCCCGCCCACAAACACCTCCGCCCCCCCCCCTTCCCTTTCCCTGCCCCCCACCCTGTGTTTTGCAGGCGGGCGGTGGCGTGGGCAGCTCCAGCGGGCTCAACATGGTGAGCAGCTCGGAGGACGTGAAGCCTCCGCTGGGCATCAACGGCGTGGGCGGCAAGGCGTCGATGCACGGTGGCAGCAGCCCCCTGCCCTGCCTCTCCAAGCACATCTGTGCCATCTGTGGGGACCGCTCTTCTGGTGGGCGGGGGGGGGGGGGGTGTGCGCCCCTGTGTGCAGAGATGCGCTTGGACACTACCGGTCCACCACCACCGCCACCACCGGCGCCACCGCCACTTGCTTACACGAGGGCACCGCGGTCTTACATAGTGCAGCAAAACCTTGGATTGCGAGCGACTTGGCCTGCGAGTGTTTTGCATGAGGAGCTCAACACATTTTTCAAGTGGATTTTAACTTGACGAACGAGCGAGGGTCTTTGCACGTACAGTATACGCTCTGTACTGCCGAGCGTCACGTGATTACGAATGAGCCGAACGGTTCTTCTCTCTCGCTGCGGGATTGTGGGTAATCGTCTCCCATGCTCGGTCTCGGTCGGCGTGCCTCACTCGTATAGTCAACATCTGTGCGAGCGTAGACTGTTTACTATAGTACTATAGTGTTGTGACCACGTGTATACTGTTTACTACAGTATAGTGTTGTGACCACGTGTATCCTGTTTACTACAGTACTGTATAGTGTTGTGACCACGTGTGTACTGTTTACTATAGTGTTGTGACCACGTGTATACTGTTTACTACAGTACTATAGTGTTGTGACCACGTGTATACTGTTTACTACAGTACTATAGTGTTGTGACCACGTGTATACTGTTTACTACAGTATAGTGTTGTGACCACGTGTGTACTGTTTACTATAGTGTTGTGACCACGTGTATACTGTTTACTACAGTACTATAGTGTTGTGACCACGTGTATACTGTTTACTACAGTACTATAGTGTTGTGACCACGTGTATACTGTTTACTATAGTGTTGTGACCACGTGTATACTGTTTACTACAGTATAGTGACCACGTGTGTACTGTTTACTATAGTGTTGTGACCACGTGTATACTGTTTACTACAGTTTAGTGTTGTGACCACGTGTATACTGTTTACTATAGTGTTGTGACCACGTGTGTACTGTTTACTACAGTATAGTGTTGTGACCACGTGTATACTGTTTACTACAGTTTAGTGTTGTGACCACGTGTATACTGTTTACTATAGTGTTGTGAACACGTGTATACTGTACTACAGTATAGTGTTGTGACCACGTGTATACTGTTTACTACAGTACTATAGTGTTGTGACCACGTGTATACTGTTTACTATAGTATTGTGACCACGTGTGTGTGTGTGCGCGTAAAGCATTTTTTGTTATTTTGTGTCCAAGTGTAATGACTGTTCTTTAGTAACTGTGCTGCAACAATGGCCCAACAATGCAATGTCACATTACCGCGAAATCCTCGAAAGGAGGCAAAAGCGAGCGTACCAGCCTGCAATAGATTAATGTGTCCGTCCGTCCCCTTTCAATACTTTAACGAAGTGGAATCTCGTGCTGTTGGGTGTTAAATCAGCAATAGACAGCGCAGAGACTTGTCCTACCAGCCCACCCTGCAGGGACCTGTTTAAAGTTGCACATAAAGAAAATGATTCCAGTGAGCCACCAGATGGCAGTGATTCCGTTAGTGACAGTGAAAGTCGTCCTACTCAATAACCCTCCTCCTCCTCCCTCATCTCCTCTCTCTCGTCTCGCTCACACCAGCCACGATTACATTTAATTAATCAATTTGATTGCTTTATATTAAATTTAAATGATAAAAATATAAAAAGGTTTTTATATTTTTATATAATCATCTTGAGTTTCCATGATTTCTTGTGGGGAAATTCGCTTTGATATACGAGTGCTTTGGATTACAAAGACGTTTCCGGAACGAATTATGCTCGCAATCCAAGGTTTTACACTGTACTTCAATCCTACCACGTGACATGATATTAGTACTACAGCAGCAAAGTCCTCGAGTCGGGTACTCACAAGTATCCACTAGTAACCTGCACCTCCACACAGGACTCTACCTACGGTGCACTACCGCTACATAAATAACATTAACCACCTCCACACATGACTCTACCTACGGTGCACTACCGCTACATCAATAACATTAACCACCTCCACACATGACTCTGCGGTGCACTACCGCTACATCAATAACATTAACCACCTCCACACAGGACTCTGCGGTGCACTACCGCTACATCAATAACATTAACCACCTCCACACAGAACTCTACGGTGCACTACCGCTACATCAATAACATTAACCACCTCCACACAGGACTCTACGGTGCACTACCGCTACATCAATAACATTAACCACCTCCACACAGGACTCCACGGTGCACTACCGCTACATCAATAACATTAACCACCACACAGGACTACGGTGCACTACCGCTACATCAATAACATTAACCACCTCCACACATGACTCTGTGGTGCACTACCGCTACATCAATAACATTAACCACCTCCACACAGGACTCTGCGGTGCACTACCGCTACATCAATAACATTAACCACCTCCACACAGGACTATACGGTGCACTACCGCTACATCAATAACATTAACCACCTCCACACAGGACTCTACCTACGGTGCACTACCGCTACATCAATAACATTAACCACCTCCACACATGATTATGCGGTGCACTACCGCGATATCAATAACATTAACCACCTCCACACAGGACTCTGCGGTGCACTACCGCTACATCAATAAGATTAACCACCTCCACACATGATTATGCGGTGCACTACCACGATATCAATAACATTAACCACCTCCACACAGGACTTCGCGGTGCACTACCGCTACATCACTAACATTAACCACCTCCACACAGGACCCTACGGTGCGCTACCGCTACATCAATAACATTTACCACCTCCACACAGGACTCTGCGGTGCACTACCGCTACATCAATAACATTAACCACCTCCACACAGGACTCTGCGGTGCACTACCGCTACATCAATAACATTAACCACCTCCACACATGACTCTGCGGTGCACTACCGCGACATCAATAACATTAACCACCTCCACACAGGACTCTGCGGTGCACTACCGCTACATCAATAACATTAACCACCTCCACACAGGACTCTGCGGTGCACTACCGCTACATCAATAACATTAACCACCTCCACACAGGACTCTGCGGTGCACTACCGCTACATCAATAACATTAACCACCTCCACACAGGACTCCACGGTGCACTACCGCTACATCAATAACATTAACCACCTCCACACAGGACTCTGCGGTGCACTACCGCTACATCAATAACATTAACCACCTCCACACAGGACTATACGGTGCACTACCGCTACATCAATAACATTAACCACCTCCACACAGGACTATACGGTGCACTACCGCTACATCAATAACATTAACCACCTCCACACAGGACTATACGGTGCACTACCGCTACATCAATAACATTAACCACCTCCACACAGGACTATACGGTGCACTACCGCTGCATCAATAACATTAACCACCTCCACACATGACTCTGCGGTGCACTACCGCTACATCAATAACATTAACCACCTCCACACAGGACTCTGGTGCACTACCGCTACATCAATAACATTAACCACCTCCACACATGACCCTGCGGTGCACTACCAAGACATCAATAACATTAACCACCTCCACACACGACTCTGCGGTGCACTACCGCTACGTCAATAACATTAACCACCTCCACACAGGACTCTGCGGTGCACTGCCGCTACATCAATAACATTAACCACCTCCACACACGACTCTACGGTGCACTACCAAGACATCAATAACATTAACCACCTCCACACAGGACTCTACGGTGCACTACCGCTACATCAATAACATTAACCACCTCCACACACGACTGCGGTGTACTACCTCTACATCAATAACATTAACCACCTCCACACAGGACCCTACGGTGCACTACCGCTACATCAATAACATTGACCACCTCCACACACGATTCTGCGGTGCACTACCGCTACATCAATAACATTAACCACCTCCACACATGACCCTACGGTGCACTACCGCTACATCAATAACATTAACCACCTCCACACAGGACTCTGCGGTGCACTACCGCTACATGAACACAACTAAAACTAAACTAAAAGTTTTTTTATCTTACCAGGTAAGGCCCCGCTCGAGCCGGGTAACCCGTTCTTTCCACAAATGACAGCCCCCCGCGCAAGCGGCTTGTCACGCGGAAATGTAACGCAGCCAAACACTCTCGAACGCGCCGTAGCTAAACGCGGAGGGGAAACGAAAAACCAACCCCATCGCCGTGACCACTCGAGGCCTCCGGCCACCTCCACAACGGCCCTCGCCGACGCCGCCGGCACCGCCGGCGCCGTGCTGCGTAGGCCAACCCGTGCCAATCGGGTGGTGCAGGGCGGTGTGTGTGTAACGCCGGACCAAAACAACGACGCTAACCGCCGCCGCCCCCGCCCGCCCCCCCCCACACCGGCGCAGGCAAGCACTACGGTGTGCACAGCTGCGAGGGCTGCAAGGGCTTCTTCAAGCGCACGGTGCGCAAGGACCTGAGCTACACTTGCCGCGACACGCGCGACTGCATCATCGACAAGCGGCAGCGCAACCGCTGCCAGTACTGCCGCTACCAGAAGTGCCTCGCCACCGGCATGAAGCGTGAAGGTGAGACGCGGGACGCCGCTGGCTTTCGACCCCCGACCCACGACCCACGACCCCCACGACCCCACCAAGGACGACGAAGGGCGGCGCGTGCGTAGGCCGCGGGGTTTAGCACGTCGCGGTTTCGCGCCAGCGTTGTCTCGGGCCGCGGAGTTTTGCCGACCGGCCACCCGGTCCGCACGTGTCTGTCGTCACGTGTCTGTCATCACGTGTCCGTCGTCACGTGTCCGTCGTCACGTGTCTGTCATCACGTGTCTGTCATCACGTGTCTGTCATCACGTGTCCGTCATCACGTGTCTGTCGTCACGTGTCCGTCGTCACGTGTCTGTCATCACGTGTCTGTCATCACGTGTCCGTCGTCACGTGTCCGTCGTCACGTGTCTGTCATCACGTGTCTGTCATCACGTGTCTGTCATCACGTGTCTGTCATCACGTGTCTGTCATCACGTGTCCGTCATCACGTGTCTGTCATCACGTGTCCGTCGTCACGTGTCTGTCATCACGTGTCTGTCATCACGTGTCTGTCATCACGTGTCTGTCATCACGTGTCTGTCATCACGTGTCTGTCATCACGTGTCTGTCATCACGTGTCCGTCATCACGTGTCTGTCATCACGTGTCTGTCATCACGTGTCCGTCATCACGTGTCCGTCGTCACGTGTCCGTCGTCACGTGTCTGTCATCACGTGTCTGTCATCACGTGTCTGTCATCACGTGTCTGTCATCACGTGTCTGTCATCACGTGTCTGTCATCACGTGTCCGTCATCACGTCTGTCATCACGTGTCTGTCATCACGTGTCCGTCATCACGTGTCTGTCATCACGTGTCCGTCGTCACGTGTCTGTCATCACGTGTCTGTCATCACGTGTCCGTCATCACGTGTCCGTCGTCACGTGTCTGTCGTCACGTGTCTGTCATCACGTGTCTGTCATCACGTGTCTGTCATCACGTGTCTGTCGTCACGTGTCTGTCGTCACGTGTCTGTCATCACGTGTCCGTCGTCACGTGTCCGTCGTCACGTGTCTGTCGTCACGTGTCTGTCGTCACGTGTCTGTCGTCACGTGTCTGTCGTCACGTGTCTGTCGTCACGTGTCTGTCACCACGTGTCTGTCATCACGTGTCTGTCATCACGTGTCTGTCATCACGTGTCTGTCATCACGTGTCCGTCATCACGTGTCTGTCATCACGTGTCTGTCATCACGTGTCTGTCATCACGTGTCCGTCGTCACGTGGCCGTCATCACGTGGCCGTCATCATGTCTGTCGTCACGTGTCCGTCGTCACGTGTCTGTCATCACGTGTCCGTCGTCACGTGTCTGTCATCACGTGTCTGTCATCACGTGTCTGTCATCACGTGTCCGTCATCACGTGTCTGTCATCACGTGTCTGTCGTCACGTGTCCGTCGTCACGTGTCTGTCGTCACGTGTCTGTCGTCACGTGTCCGTCATCACGTGTCTGTCATCACGTGTCTGTCACCACGTGTCCGTCGTCACGTGTCTGTCACCACGTGTCCGTCGTCACGTGTCTGTCATCACGTGTCCGTCATCACGTGTCCGTCGTCACGTGTCTGTCATCACGTGTCTGTCGTCACGTGTCTGTCACCACGTGTCCGTCGTCACGTGTCTGTCATCACGTGTCCGTCATCACGTGGCCGTCATCACGTGTCTGTCATCACGTGTCCGTCATCACGTGTCTGTCATCACGTGTCTGTTGTCATGTCCGTCATCACGTGTCTGTCGTCACGTGTCTGCCGTCACGTGTCTGTCGTCACGTGTCCGTCGTCACGTGTCCGTCGTCACGTGTCTGTCATCACGTGTCTGTCATCACGTGTCTGTCATCACTTGTCCGTCGTCACGTGTCCGTCGTCACTTGTCTGTCATCACGTGTCCGTCATCACGTGTCCGTCATCACGTGTCTGTCGTCACGTGTCTGTCGTCACGTGTCTGTCATCACGTGTCTGTCATCACGTGTCCGTCGTCACGTGTCTGTCATCACGTGTCTGTCATCACGTGTCTGTCGTCACGTGTCTGTCATCACGTGTCTGTCATCACGTGTCTGTCATCACGTGTCTGTCGTCACGTGTCTGTCGTCACGTGTCTGTCGTCACGTGTCTGTCATCACGTGTCTGTCATCACGTGTCTGTCATCACGTGTCTGTCGTCGCGTGTCTGTCGTCACGTGTCTGTCATCACGTGTCTGTCATCACGTGTCTGTCGTCACGTGTCTGTCATCACGTGTCTGTCACCACGTGTCTGTCGTCACGTGTCTGTCACCACGTGTCTGTCGTCACGTGTCCGTCGTCACGTGTCTGTCACCACGTGCCTGTCATCACATGTCTGTCGTCACGTGTCTGTCGTCACGTGTCCGTCGTCACGTGTCCGTCGTCACGTGTCCGTCGTCACGTGTCTGTCATCACGTGTCTGTCATCACGTGTCTGTCGTCACGTGTCTGTCGTCACGTGTCTGTCATCACGTGTCCGTCATCACGTGCCCGTCATCACGTGTCTGTCATCACGTGTCTGTCATCGCGTGTCTGTCGTCACGTGTCTGTCGTCACGTGTCTGTCGTCACGTGTCTGTCGTCACGTGTCTGTCGTCACGTGTCTGTCATCACGTGTCCGTCATCACGTGTCTGTCATCACGTGTCCGTCGTCACGTGTCTGTCATCACGTGTCTGTCGTCGTCCGTCGCCACGTCTCCGTCGCCGCGTGCCCGTCGCCGCCTCCAACGTGCGGCCCTTTGCGTGTCCCCAGGCCACGCGGCGTTCCCGGCCTCCAGCGAGGAGAGGGAGGAGGAGGCAGCTAGGTCCAGTCGCACGGAATTTTGTCTTCCTGTAGTGTGGAGTAGAAGGCCGTCCTTAATGACCACCCCTGTTGGCGACTTGTCACTTCACGACGGGCCTCCATAGAGCCCAATGTGTAGTTTAGTGAGTAGTGTGTAGTGTATAGTGTAGAGTAGTGTAGTGTATGGTATATAGTGTACAGTAGTGTGTAGTGTAGTGTATAGTCGTGTATAGTAGTTAGTAGTGTAGTGTGTAGTGTATAGTAGTTAGTGTAGTGGTTAGTAGTGTAGTGTGTAGTGTATGGTAGTGTAGTGTATAGTGTAGAGTAGTGTGTAGTGTATTGTAGTGTGTATGTGTGTAGTGTGTATAGTAGTGTAGTGTGTAGTGTACAGTAGTGTGTAGTGTGTAGTGTAGTGTACTGTAGTGTGTGTATGTGTGTAGTGTATAGTAGTATAGTAGTGTATAGTAGTGCATAGTAACCACGGTCCTCCATAGAGCCCAGTGTGTAGTGTATAGGAGTGTAGTGTGTAGTGTATACTGTATATAGTGTAGGGCCTCTAGAGCCCAGTGTGTAGTGTATAGTGTAGTGTATAGTGTAGTGTGTAGAAGTATAGTAGTGCATAGTAACGACGGTCATCCATTGAGCCCAGTGTGTTGTAGTGTATAGTAGTGTAGTGTGTAGTAGTATAGTAGTGTAGTGTATAGTAGTGCATAGTAACGACGGTCATCCATAGAGCCCAGTGTGTAGTGTATGATAGTGTAGTGTATAGTAGTGTAGTGTGTAGTGTAGTAGTGTATAGTAACGACGGTCTTCCATAGAGCCCAGTGTGTAGTGTATAGTATAGTAGTGTAGTGTATAGTAGTGTAGTGTGTAGTGTAGTAGTGTATAGTAGTGTATCGTGTAGTGTGTAGTGTAGGGCCTCCATAGAGCCCAATGTGTTTGCTTACCGACCATTCCCCTGTTAACGACGGGCTGTTGTAGGCACAGTAAAGTATTAATGAACGCATCGATTTTACCGCGTTTCTTCTAATGTTATTCGTTCATAGTGTTAGTATTTTTACGAATTAATATCCACTGTTTAAATATTACAAGGTACATTATTGTTTTTTGGCGTGATAGAGGGGTGACCGTCGATGCTGTCGGAACGAATTGAGCCTTTAACGTCCATTTCCTGCCGGATCCGTGGGGCCAATTACCGCCGCTAAGAGGAGGCCTTCTGCTGTACAGCACTGTGCACGAATGCCACGTGCACAGTGCCGTACACCACGTTTCATTGTTGTACTCTGCGCACTTGCTGTAGGAGCCATTACATTTGAACGCTCTGGAAATATCCATCGCGTTTTAATTTCAAAAATACTTCCCGGTTTAATGTTTGGCTTGATGCAGGGCAACATAAAACAACAACATTACCAACAAGAGGAGGGTGTTGATTTGAAGCTCTTGTGACTGCAGGAATCCATACTCTTTGGTTATTTTTGGTAAAGACATCACGTGGGTATAATGATTGATTTGATTTTGTACCTGCGTGACTTTAACCGAAAGAATCAAAGAGTAAGACTAGGAGGGTGGTGGTGGGGGGGTGGGTGTCGTATTATGAACCGTGAACTGCTTGACCCCGCCGAGATGGGCAAGGGTTTGCTGCATGCTTCTTACGCACGCCTTTAGAATTCGTGGACTCGCATGGAGACCCGTGGACTTGCATGGAGACCCGTGGACTTGCGTACGGAGACCCGTGGACTTGTTTACAGAGACCCGTGGACCTGCGTAGAGCGTTTTGTCATCGGGAGAATGTGGTGGCTGCTGTTGTGCGGTGGGTCCACCTGACCCCAGGCAGCCACTAGAGGCGCTGCAGCATCCACCCACACGGCTCGAGTGAGGGAAAAGAGTCGACGTGGAACGATTCTTCGCACCTAGAATCGATTCTCACCAAAAAACACTCCCAATATTTATGCGTTTGTGTTTATGTTCCTGTGCGTGTGTGCGTGTTTCTCCGTGTGCACGCGCGTCCATGTGGGTGTGCGTTTTACGTGTGTCCGTGTGGTCCTGTGTCTGTGCCCACCCACCCGTGTGTGCGTGTGTCTGCCTGCTTGTCTTTGTCCGTGCGCGTCTGCCCACGTGCGCGTCTCTCCACGTGCGCGTCTGCCCGCGTGCGTTTGTTCGTCGTGCCCCGTGTGGCGCCTGTGCCCCCCCCCCCCCCACTGCGGCGCCGGCGGGCGCTTGCGCGGGCGTGACGGCCGGCGAGGCAGCCGTGCAGGAGGAGCGCCAGCGCGGCAAGGACAAGGAGGACAGCGGGGACGGGGAGGGCGGCGCCGGCGGGGGTGCCAACGAGGACATGCCCGTCGAGAAGATCCTGGACGCGGAGCTCGCAGTGGAGCCCAAGACGGAGACCTACGCCGAGCTGGGCGCCGCCTCGCCCGCCGGCGCCTCGGTACGCGCCGCCTCGCTAGCGCACGAGCGCATGCGCACGGTGGCACTCTAGTGCGCTAGTGCGCCACACCGTAGCGCACTAGCGCATGCACACGGTGGCATGCTAGTGCGCTAGCGCCACACCGTAGCGCTAGTTACACTAGCACATACACACGGTGGCATTCTAGTGCGCTAGTGCCACACACTAGCGCTAACACACTAGCGCATGCACACGGTGGCACTCTAGTGCGCTAGTGCCACACCGTAGCGCTAACACACTAGCGCATACACACGGTGGCATTCTAGTGCGCTAGTGCCACACACTAGCGCGTACACACGGTGGCATTCTAGTGCGCTAGTGCCACACCGTAGCGCTAACACACTAGCGCATACACACGGTGGCAGGAGTGCGCTAGTGTGGTAGCACTCTACATATGTAAATACATATGTAGAGTAGAACCCCTGGTACCGACCACCCCTGTTAACAACTAATCGCTTAACGCCGGGCCAATGTGTTAGAGCCCAGTGTGGAGTGTATGGTAGTGGAGTGTATGGTAGTGGAGTGCATGGTAGTGGAGTGCATGGTAGTGGAGTGTATGGTAGTGGAGTGTATGGTAGTGGAGTGTATGGTAGTGGAGTGTATGGTAATGAAGTGTATGGTAGTGGAGTGTATGGTAGTGGAGTGTATGGTAGTGGAGTGTATGGTAGTGGAGTGTATGGTAGTGGAGTGTATGGTAGTGGTGTGTATGGTAGTGGAGTGTATGGTAGTGGAGTGTATGGTAGTGGAGTGTATGGTAGTGGAGTGTATGGTAGTGGAGTGTATGGTAGTGGAGTGTATGGTAGTGGAGTGTATGGTAGTGGAGTGTATGATAGTGGAGTATATGGTAGTGTGGAGTAGAATCCCTCTTAACGACGACTAATTACTTAACAGGCCTCCATAGAGTCCAATGTGGAGTTATAGTGGAGTGTATAGTAGTGGAGTGTATAGTAGTGGAGTGTATAGTAGTGTATAGTAGTGGAGGGTATAGTGTAGTGTATAGTAGTGGAGTGTATAGTAGTGGAGTGTGTAGTAGTGGAGTGTATAGTAGTGGAGTGTGTAGTAGTGGAGTGTATAGTAGTGTAGTGTGTAGTAGTGTGGAGTGTATAGTAGTGGAGTGTGTAGTAGTGGAGTGTGTAATAGTGGAGTGTGTAGTTGTGGAGTGTGTAGTAGCGGAGTGTGTAGTAGCGGAGTGTGTAGTAGCGGAGTGTGTAGTAGCGGAGTGTGTAGTAGCGGAGTGTGTAGTAGCGGAGTGTGTAGTAGCGGAGTGTATAGTAGCGGAGTGTATAGTAGCGGAGTGTATAGTAGCGGAGTGTATAGTAGCGGAGTGTATAGTAGCGGAGTGTATAGTAGCGGAGTGTATAGTAGCGGAGTGTATAGTAGCGGAGTGTATAGTAGCGGAGTGTATAGTAGCGGAGTGTATAGTAGCGGAGTGTATAGTAGCGGAGTGTATAGTAGCGGAGTGTGTAGTAGCGGAGTGTGTAGTAGCGGAGTGTGTAGTAGCGGAGTGTATAGTAGTGTAGAGTGTATAGTAGCGGAGTGTATAGTAGCGGAGTGTATAGTAGCGGAGTGTATAGTAGCGGAGTGTATAGTAGCGGAGTGTATAGTAGCGGAGTGTATAGTAGCGGAGTGTATAGTAGCGGAGGGTATAGTAGCGGAGGGTATAGTAGCGGAGGGTATAGTAGCGGAGGGTATAGTAGCGGAGGGTATAGTAGCGGAGGGTATAGTAGTGGAGGGTATAGTGTAGTGTATAGTAGTGGAGTGTGTAGTAGTGGAGTGTATAGTAGCGGAGTGTATAGTAGTGTAGTGTATAGTAGTGGAGTGTATAGTAGCGTAGTGTATAGTAGTGGAGTGTATAGTAGTGGAGTGTATAGTAGTGGAGTGTATAGTAGTGGAGTGTATAGTAGTGGAGTGTATAGTAGTGGAGTGTATAGTAGTGGAGTGTATAGTAGTGGAGTGTATAGTAGTGGAGTGTGTAGTAGTGGAGTGTATAGTAGCGGAGTGTATAGTAGCGTAGTGTATAGTAGTGGAGGGTATAGTAGTGGAGTGTATAGTAGCGGAGTGTATAGTAGCGTAGTGTATAGTAGTGGAGGGTATAGTAGTGGAGGGTATAGTAGTGGAGGGTATAGTGTAGTGTATAGTAGTGGAGTGTGTAGTAGTGGAGTGTGTAGTAGTGGAGTGTATAGTAGTGGAGTGTATAGTAGTGGAGTGTATAGTAGTGGAGTGTATAGTAGCGGAGTGTATAGTAGTGTATAGTAGTGGAGTGTATAGTAGTGGAGTGTATAGTAGTGGAGTGTATAGTAGTGGAGTGTATAGTAGTGGAGTGTATAGTAGCGTAGTGTATAGTAGTGGAGTGTACGGAGCCAACCGTGCGGGGAAAGCACAACAAATTAAACACAAAGCAGTCTACGGGCAGTGTCGAGTCTGGAGTCTATGTTGCATTGTTGAGTCTATGGGGCAGTGTTGAGTCTATGGTGCAGTGTAGAGTCTATGGTGCAGTGTAGAGTCTATGGTGCAGTGTAGAGTCTATGGTGCAGTGTAGAGTCTATGGTGCAGTGTTGAGTCTATGGTGCAGTGTTGAGTCTACGGTGCAGTGTTGAGTCTACGGTGCAGTGTTGAGTCTATGGTGCAGTGTTGAGTCTATGGTGCAGTGTTGAGTCTATGGTGCAGTGTTGAGTCTATGGTGCAGTGTTGAGTCTATGGTGCAGTGTTGAGTCTACGGTGCAGTGTTGAGTCTACGGTGCAGTGTTGAGTCTATGGTGCAGTGTTGAGTCTATGGTGCAGTGTTGAGTCTATGGTGCAGTGTTGAGTCTACGGTGCAGTGTTGAGTATACGGTGCAGTGCTGAGTCTATGGTGCAGTGCTGAGTCTATGGTGCAGTGCTGAGTCTATGGTGCAGTGTTGAGTCTATGGTGCAGTGAGGAGTCTACGTGCAGTGCTGAGTCTATGGTGCAGTGCTGAGTCTATGGTGCAGTGCTGAGTCGATGGTGCAGTGCTGAGTCTATGGTGCATTGTTGAGTCTATGGGCAGTGTTGAGAACTATGTTGCATTGTTGAGTCTGTGGTGTAGAGTCAGTGGTGCAGTGTTGAGTCTATGGGCAGTGCTGAGTCAGTGGTGCAGTGCTGAGTCTATGGTGCAGTGCTGAGTCTACGGGCAGTGTTGAGTCTATGGTGCAGTGTTGAGTCTATGGGCAGTGCTGAGTCTATGGTGCAGTGTTGAGTCTATTGTGCAGTGTTGAGTCTACGGTGCAGGGTTGGAGTCTATGGTGCAGTGTTGAGTCTATGGTGCAGTGCTGAGTCTATGGTGCAGTGTTGAGTCTATGGTGCAATGCTGAGTCTATGGTGCAGTGTTGAGTCTATGGTGCAGTGTTGAGTCTATGGTGCAATGCTGAGTCTATGGTGCAGTGCTGAGTCTATGGTGCAGTGTTGAGTCTACGGGCAGCGACGTATGTTGAATTTCCTCCCCTCTACCCCCACCTCTCCCGCCACCCCCTCCCCCATCGTGTCTCATCGCTGCCCCCCCCTCCCCGCTCTGCGCCCCCCTCCCCCCCCGACTCCAGCCCAACGACCCGGTAACGAACATCTGCCAGGCAGCGGACAAGCAGCTGTTCACGCTCGTGGAGTGGGCCAAACGCGTCCCCCACTTCTCGGAGTTATCCCTCGACGATCAGGTCATCCTTCTACGTGCGGGTACGCTCCCCCCCACCCCTCCGTGTGTGTAGCCCCTTCAAACAAGGTGCGCCTTTGAGCGAGCGCACGGAATTGAAACATGGGAAAATAAATATCAATTAGCGGTAAGAAAGCACAAAATAAAGGCTGCACGTGGACGGGAAGGCTCTGATTCGGTCAGTGATGAAAAGGTGAACTGGCTCGCTATTCGGTTCGGACCTGGGGAGAAAAAAACCGAGTCTATGGGCAGTGTTGAGTCTATGGTGCAGTGTTGAGTCTATGGGCAGTGTTGAGTCTATGGGGCAGTGTTGAGTCTATGGGCAGTGTTGAGTCTATGGGCAGTGTTGAGTCTATGGGCAGTGTTGAATCTATGGAGCAGTGTTGAGTCTATAGTGCAGTGTTGAGTCTATGGAGCAGTGTTGAGTCAATGGGTAGTGTTGAGTCTATGGAGCAGTGTTGAGTCTATGGGCAGTGTTGAGTCTATGGTGCAGTGTTGAGTCTATGGGCAGTGTTGAGTCTATGGTGGAGTGTTGAGTCTATGGGCAGTGTTGAGTCTATGGGCAGTGTTGAGTTTATGGGGCAGTGTTGAGTCTATGGGCAGTGTTGAGTCTATGGGGCAGTGTTGAGTCTATGGGCAGTGTTGAGTCTATGGTGCAGTGTTGAGTCTATGGTGCAGTGTTGAGTCTATGGGCAGTGTTGAGTCTATGGGCAGTGTTGAGTCTATGGTGCAGTGTTGAGTCTATGGTGCAGTGTTGAGTCTATGGTGCAGTGTTGAGTCTATGGTGCAGTGTTGAGTCTATGGAGCAGTGTTGAGTCTATGGGCAGTGTTGAGTCTATGGTGCAGTGTTGAGTCTATGGAGCAGTGTTGAGTCTATGGTGCAGTGTTGAGTCTATGGTGCAGTGTTGAGTCTATGGTGCAGTGTTGAGTCTATGGAGCAGTGTTGAGTCTATGGGCAGTGTTGAGTCTATGGGCAGTGCTGAGTCTATGGTGCAGTGTTGAGTCTATGGTGCAGTGATGAGTCTATGGTGCAGTGTTGAGTCTATGGTGCAGTGTTGAGTCTATGGGCAGTGTTGAGTCTATGGGCAGTGTTGAGTCTATGGGCAGTGTTGAGTCTATGGTGCAGTGTTGAGTCTATGGTGCAGTGTTGAGTCTATGGTGCAGTGTTGAGTCTATGGAGCAGTGTTGAGTCTGTGGGGTAGTGTTGAGTCTATGGTGCAGTGTTGAGTCTATGGAGCAGTGTTGAGTCTATGGGCAGTGTTGAGTCTATGGAGCAGTGTTGAGTCTATGGTGCAGTGTTGAGTCTATGGGCAGTGTTGAGTCTATGGAGCAGTGTTGAGTCTATGGTGCAGTGTTGAGTCTGGTGCAGAATAATCCACGCGACCATACAGCGGGCGTCGGGGTCGGGATCGAAGCCACGACCTCCTGCGTAGCAGGCGAGGGGAGATGGCATCTCCTGGGCACCGAGGGTAGCCGGGCGAGGGACCGGGTGGATGTGGGTGGGTGGGGGTGGGTAGACGTGTGGTGAACGGCGGAGGCTTGGAACAGAGAAACGAAGTCTTGAAGGGGGCGGTGTCCAGAACGCATCGTGACGTTGCCCTTGGCTGAGGACGTCGTTCCGATGACCGGTGAGGAGGTGAACGAGGTGGACGTGATCCAGCGCCTCGCGCCGCACGTCCTCCGTCATTCCTTCAACCCCCACGCCCCACCTCCTCCGGTTTGCGTGGCCCATTGAAATGTGCAGAATCGACAAATTGGGGGGTGATATTTCACGACGTTTCGGGCCGCAACACAAAGCGGCCTTCTTCAGGTGAAGGAACGGGCGGAATTAGCACGCAGCTTAAAAGACCCGGTTCCATGCTTGGCAGCGTTCACTCGAGCGCTGTCCTTCTGGACAGTTCCCGTTTCTTCACCTGAAGAAGGCTGCTTGTGTCGTGGCCGAAACGTCGTGAGAGTTTAATTTTATGTTTTATTATTATTTTATTTCCCTTCCACGTGGTGGTGACTTTACCGAAAGAACCAAGGAGATGAATCCCCGCGGTCAAGAAAGCTTTAAATCGAAAAATACGGATAGTATTTATTTCTCCTGGAGGAACCCGAAGCTGTTTTTTTTTTCACGGATGCCCAGTAAGGGGGCGCGGGGTCAGAACACATTACAGCAGCAAAATGTAAACGGATCGCTTGAAAAAATAAAATACGTGAATGAAACTTAAACGATTCGTATGTTACCAGGTTGAGCCCCCACCGAGCTACGTGGGTCTTCATCAGACGCGACCTGGCCCGCCACAGACGATAGCCCTATTCATATTCTTAGCTCTCTCGGTAAAGTCACGTTGAAGGGAAACAATAAAATAATTAAAAAAAAATATATAAAACAATAAAAAAAATTCTCGCGACGTTTCGACCGTAACGCAAACGGTCGTGAGAATTTTTATTGTTTTATATATTATTATTTTATTATTTTATTGCTTCCCTTCAACGTGACTTTACCGAAAGAGCGAAGAGTGTGAATCGCTGCAGTCACGAAAGCTTTAAATCGAAAGACGATAGCCCGGCGAGAAGTCGCTCACCGCGTGTAAATTCATGGCGGCCAACGGACGCGCTGTCTCGCCGCTGTTTGCTCCATGACCTGTTGCTCTGCGGCTTTGCAGATGGCAGCGAGGTGGCGTCCCCCCCGGGATGTTCCGTCCGTGAAACTTTTTTTTATTGCACCGGGAGAGGGCGTGTTGTGGTGGTGGTTGTGGCGGTTGTGGTGGTGGTGGTTGTTGTAGTGGTTGTGGTGGTGGTTGTGTGGGCGGAGACCCAGTTTGCTCGGAGTTTCAGAAGTCTCTCCCCCCCACCCCCCCCCCCCCCCCCCCCGAGCCGCCAACCGCTGCTCCAAGAGTCTCGGCTGTCCGTCCCCGGATTTCGGAACGGGCAGCCCCAACAGAGGTGTCGAGGGCTTCTTCAGTCTTGTCGCTCGGCTTGATCCTTAAACGGAGTAGCCCGGTGCCTCGGGGGAGACCCAAGGCGGCAGGGGCGTGGTGCTCGCTCGCCCGCACGACGGAAACTTGCGCCCGAAGGTTCACGCGGGGGACCGTTCTCCGCGGTTGTGTGTGCGTGCGTGTGTGCGCGTGTGTGCGTGTGTGTGTGTGCGTGCGTGTGTGCGACGTCCCGCTGTACCACCGCAGGCTGGAACGAGCTGCTCATCGCGTCCTTCTCTCACCGCTCCATCTCGGTGAAGGACGGGATCTTGCTGGCGACGGGCCTGCACGTTCACCGCAGCAGCGCCCACAGTGCCGGCGTGGGCTCCATCTTCGACCGGTAGCGCCACGCGGCGCCACGCGGCGCCGTGCCGTGCCACGCGACACGCCGCGCCGTGCCACGCAGCGCCGTTGTTCGTGCCACGCGGCGCCACTTTGCACTGCCACACTGCGCCACGTCACGCACAGCACCACGCCACACACAGCGCCACTCCGAGCCACACAGTGCCACACCGTACCATGCCACACCGCACAGCGCCACACAGCGCTACAGCGCCACACCGTGCCATGCCACACCGCGCAGCACCACACCGCGCTACAGCGCCACACCGTGCCACGCCGTGGTGACGTCGTCACCGCCACTTGATGTCCAACCGTGGTTGTTGTTGTCGTCTATCCGTGTGTGTGCGTGCGCACGCGCGAGTTTGTTCGCTGACAGCACTTTCCCAAAAAGGGGTCCGTGTAAAGGGGATCTTTGTGTCTGTGTGTGTCTGTGTGTGTGTGTGTGCGTGTGTCTGTGTGCGTGTGTCTGTGTGCGTGTGTCTGTGTGCGCGTGTCTGTGTGCGTGTGTCTGTGTGCGCGTGTCTGTGTGCGTGTGTCTGTGTGCGCGTGTCTGTGTGTGCGTGTGTCTGTGTGTGTCTGTGTGTGTGTGTGTCTGTGTGTGTGTGTGTCTGTGTGTGTCTGTGTGTGTGTGTGTCTGTGTGTGTGTGTGTCTGTGTGTGTGTGTCTGTGTGTGTCTGTGTGTGTGCAAAGCGTGCTCACGGAGCTCGTGTCTAAGATGCGGGACATGCAGATGGACAAGACGGAGCTCGGCTGCTTGCGCGCAATCGTGCTCTTCAACCCAGGTGTGGCAGGGCCTTCACGGGCCTTCAGTTACCTCCACGGGCCTTCACGGGCCTTCATTCACTCTGTCCTTCACTCACTCTGTCCTTCATTCACTCTGTCCTTCACTCACTCTGTCCTTCACGTGCCTTCATTCACTCTGTCCTTCACTCACTCTGTCCTTCACGGGCCTTCACTCACTCTGTCCTTCACTCACTCTGTCCTTCACGTGCCTTCATTCACTCTGTCCTTCACTCACTCTGTCCTTCACGGGCCTTCACTCACTCTGTCCTTCACTCACTCTGTCCTTCATTCACTCTGTCCTTCACTCACTCTGTCCTTCACGGGCCTTTATTCACTCTGTCCTTCATTCACTCTGTCCTTCATTCACTCTGTCCTTCACTCTGTCCTTCACGGGCCTTCACGCACCCGCACAGTCCTTCACAGTCCTTCACGTCCTTTCGGCTACCCGCACAACAATTCCTCACGGGCCAATCGCAGACCCCGAAACCCCCCCCCCCTCCCCCTCCCCCCCTTGCCTCGTCGCGGTCCCTTACGGAGCCCTCGAAGGGGCCTTCGCTCACCCCTCACAATCCCCCCGCGCGGGGTGCCTCTGTCAACCCTCCTCCCCCCCCCCCCCCGGTCCACTCCCCCACTGCCCCCCTCGACCCGTCTGGTGCGAGCGTAGACGCCAAGGGGCTGTCGAGCCCGGCGGAGGTGGAGGCGCTGCGGGAGAAGGTGTACGCCTCGCTGGAGTCGTACTGCAAGCAGAAATACCCCGATCAGCCCGGCAGGTAACCGTCACGCGCCCTTGTCTAAAGAGATAGAGAGAGAGATAGATATTTATTATCATGATGATTATTGACGAGCTTTACTTTACCGGAGCTTCGCCCGAGACTTGGATTCTTGTCTTGGATTAAGGGTTGCGGGGGAGGGGTGATGCGTGACGTCGGCAGGCGCGCACCGCGCGACGCTGCCGCGTGCGGGTGACGTCACAGATGTGACGTCATCACAGATGTGACGTCACCGCTCGCTTGCCATGCAAAATATATCCATTATTGCGCCTCCCGCCCCCTCACCCCCCAAAATACAAAAGTGTATTTTTATACTTTTTGCATTGTGTACAGTCTGGAAGGTACCCGCATGGCAAATTTCAAGTTTGTTGCATGTTGGGAAGTATGCTAAACATTTCGAACAGACACACACACATTCACAAATGTCCCTTTATATATACATAGATATACTCTTGATTTAAAGCTTTCGTGACTGCAGGGATTCACATTCTTGGTTCTATGCGGTAAAGTCACCACCACGTAGAAGGGAAACAATAAAATCAAATAAAAAATACAAAACAATAAAATCCTCACGACGTTTCGACTGCGACGCAACAAGCAATCGTCATCAGGGTGTGAAAACCACAGCAAGAAAATTTGGATTTTAAAAATAAATAAATAAATCCGCCGTTTCCCTTCTACGAGACTTTGCCGAAAGAACCAAGAATATAGACATACTCGTTGGTTCTGTCGGTAAAGTCACGACGTGGGTAGAAAAAATCCAATGGACCTCGCCGTTCCGATCGCAACACAGGCGACCCGTCAGCACCTGAACATGGTCACTTGTATTGCGACAAATTTCTTTAAAAACCCCTCTACTTTTGATTTAAAGCTTTCGTGACTGCAGTAATTCATATTCTTAGTTTTTTCGGTAAAGTCACGTTGAAGAGAAACAACAAAATAATAATAATAATTAAAAAAATAGTTTTATATATCTTTTATTATTTTGTTGTTTCTCTTCAACGTGACTTTACCGAAAAAACTAAGAATATGAACCCCTCTACTGTATTATGGATTCTTCTTATTATTATTTACAACTCCACGTGAGCCCCCCCCCCGGTACGGAACGAGTGACGGGGGGGGGGGGGGTGCGGGATCATCGGGAATACCGGGAGCAGCGGACCGATGTTCGTGCGACAGGGGGAATTTGAAGGTTTTGGAACGTTGGTGGGGGGGGGGGACCGCGAGGGTTTATACAGCGAGGGGAGAGGGGTAACGGGGAACGACGACAAACTGAACACAACAACAACGGCAACAAGAAGCACTTCTGAAGCAATGAGTTAGTTGTCAATGTAGTATAGTGGTGTCGCGTATAGCAGTGTGGTGTATGGCAGTGTGGTGTATGGTGTAGTGTATAGCAGTGTAGTGTATAGCGGTGTGCTTTATAGTGTAGTGTATGGCAGTGTGGTGTATAGTGTAGTGTATAGCAGTGTGGTGTGTAGTGTATAGAAGTGTAGTGTATAGCAGTGTGGTTTATAGTGTAGTGTATAGCAGTGTAGTGTATAGCGGTGTGCTTTATAGTGTAGTGTATGGCAGTGTGGTGTATAGTGTAGTGTATAGCAGTGTGGTGTATAGTGTAGTGTATAGCAGTGTAGTGTATAGCAGTGTGGTGTATAGTGTAGTGTATGGCAGTGTGGTGTATAGTGTAGTGTATAGCAGTGTGGTGTGTAGTGTATAGAAGTGTAGTGTATAGCAGTGTGGTTTATAGTGTAGTGTATAGCAGTGTAGTGTATAGCGGTGTGCTTTATAGTGTAGTGTATAGCAGTGTAGTGTATAGCAGTGTGGTTTATAGTGTAGTGTATAGCAGTGTGGTGTATAGTGTAGTGTATAGCAGTGTGGTGTATAGTGTAGTGTATAGTGTAGTGTATAGCAGTGTAGTGTATAGTGTAGTGTATAGCGGTGTAGTATATAGTGTGGTGTATAGTGTAGTGTATAGCAGTGTGGTGTATAGTGTAGTGTATAGCAGTGTGGTGTGTAGTGTATAGAAGTGTAGTGTATAGCAGTGTGGTTTATAGTGTAGTGTATAGCAGTGTAGTGTATAGCGGTGTTATTTATAGTGTAGTGTATAGCAGTGTGGTGTATAGTGTAGTGTATAGCAGTGTAGTGTATAGCAGTGTGGTTTATAGTGTAGTGTATAGCAGTGTGGTGTATAGTGTAGTGTATAGCAGTGTGGTGTATAGTGTAGTATATAGCAGTGTAGTGTATAGCGGTGTGGTGTATAGTGTAGTGTATAGCAGTGTAGTGTATAGCAGTGTAGTGTATGGCAGTGTGGTGTATAGTGTAGTGTATAGCAGTGTGGTGTGTAGTGTATAGAAGTGTAGTGTATAGCAGTGTGGTTTATAGTGTAGTGTATAGCAGTGTAGTGTATAGCAGTGTGCTTTATAATGTAGTGTATAGCAGTGTGGTGTATAGTGTAGTGTATAGCAGTGTGGTTTATAGTGTAGTGTATAGCAGTGTGGTGTATAGTGTAGTGTATAGCAGTGTGGTGTATAGTGTAGTGTATAGCAGTGTAGTGTATAGCGGTGTGGTGTATAGTGTAGTGTATAGCAGTGTGGTGTATAGTGTAGTGTATAGCAGTGTAGTGTGTAGTGTATAGCGGTGTAGTGTATAGTGTAGTGTATAGCAGTGTGGTGTATAGTGTAGTGTATAGCGGTGTAGTGTATAGTGTAGTGTATAGCGGTGTAGTGTATAGTGTAGTGTATAGTAATGTAGTGTATAGGAGTGTAGTGTATAATCGTGTCGTGTGTAGTGTAGTATATTGTAGTGTATAGTGTAGTATATAGTAGTGCTGTGTATGCATGTTGAACCTCTTTCGCACCACTGTCACGGAGCCAACCGTTGTTAATCGGAGGTGTGGGGGGAAGGACATTTAACTAGACACAAGAAGCCGTTGGAAAGAAATGAGTTTGTCATTCTCTGCCATGATTTAAAAATGCAGCGTAGCTCCCAGCGGTTTCCTAATGTCGCAAAGGAAGAGCGTTCCAGACGGCCGCAGATGCGTACCTGAAGGCGCCACGCCATGCAGCATGGCCAGCAGCACCATGCCCGGCTCCTGTTGCCTCACTAGTGGCGATGTTTACTACACACTGCATGTGTGTGTGTGCGTGGGTGTGCATGCGTGTGTGCGTGTGTTGGCTGTGTAAACACACGTGTGTGTGCGTGTGTTGGCTGTGTATACACACTTGTGTGCGTGTGTTGGCTGTGTATACACATGTGCGCGTGTGTGTTGGCTGTGTATACACACGCGTGTGTGCGTGTGTTGGCTGTGTATACACACGTGTGTTGGCTGTGTATACACACGTGTGTTGGCTGTGTATACACACGTGTGTTGGCTGTGTATACACACGCGTGTGTGCTTGTGTTGGCTGTGTATACACACGTGTGTTGGCTGTGTATACACACGTGTGTTGGCTGTGTATACACACGCGTGTGTGCGTGTGTTGGCTGTGTATACACACGTGTGTTGGCTGTGTATACACACGTGTGTTGGCTGTGTATACACACGTGTGTTGGCTGTGTATACACACGCGTGTGTGCGTGTGTTGGCTGTGTATACACACATGTGTTGGCTGTGTATACACACGTGTGTTGGCTGTGTATACACACGTGTGTTGGCTGTGTATACACACGTGTGTGTGCGTGTGTTGGCTGTGTATACACACGTGTGTTGGCTGTGTATACACACACGTGTGCTGGCTGTGTATACACACACTTGTGCTGGCTGTGTATACACACACGTGTGCTGGCTGTGTATACACACACACGTGTGCTGGCTGTGTATGCACACACGTGTGCTGGCTGTGTATACACACACGTGTGCTGGCTGTGTATACACACACTTGTGCTGGCTGTGTATACACACGTGTGTTGGCTGTGTATACACACGTGTGTTGGCTGTGTATACACACGTGTGTTGGCTGTGTATACACACGCGTGTGTGCTTGTGTTGGCTGTGTATACACACGTGTGTTGGCTGTGTATACACACGCGTGTGTGCGTGTGTTGGCTGTGTATACACACGTGTGTTGGCTGTGTATACACACGTGTGTTGGCTGTGTATACACACGTGTGTTGGCTGTGTATACACACGTGTGTTGGCTGTGTATACACACGTGTGTTGGCTGTGTATACACACGCGTGTGTGCTTGTGTTGGCTGTGTATACACACGTGTGTTGGCTGTGTATACACACGTGTGTTGGCTGTGTATACACACGCGTGTGTGCGTGTGTTGGCTGTGTATACACACGTGTGTTGGCTGTGTATACACACGTGTGTTGGCTGTGTATACACACGTGTGTTGGCTGTGTATACACACGCGTGTGTGCGTGTGTTGGCTGTGTATACACACATGTGTTGGCTGTGTATACACACGTGTGTTGGCTGTGTATACACACGTGTGTTGGCTGTGTATACACACGTGTGTGTGCGTGTGTTGGCTGTGTATACACACGTGTGTTGGCTGTGTATACACACACGTGTGCTGGCTGTGTATACACACACTTGTGCTGGCTGTGTATACACACACGTGTGCTGGCTGTGTATACACACACACGTGTGCTGGCTGTGTATGCACACACGTGTGCTGGCTGTGTATACACACACGTGTGCTGGCTGTGTATACACACACTTGTGCTGGCTGTGTATACACACACGTGTGCTAGCTGTGTATACACACACGTGTGCTGGCTGTGTATACACACACTTGTGCTGGCTGTGTATACACACACGTGTGCTGGCTGTGTATACACACACACGTGTGCTGGCTGTGTATGCACACACGTGTGCTGGCTGTGTATACACACACGTGTGCTGGCTGTGTATACACACACTTGTGCTGGCTGTGTATACACACACGTGTGCTGGCTGTGTATACACACACGTGTGCTGGCTGTGTATACACACACGTGTGCTGGCTGTGTATACACACACGTGTGCTGGCTGTGTATGCACACACGTGTGCTGGCTGTGTATACACACACGTGTGCTGGCTGTGTATACACACACGTGTGCTGGCTGTGTATACACACACGTGTGCTGGCTGTGTATACACACACGTGTGCTGGCTGTGTATACACACACGTGTGCTGGCTGTGTATACACACACGTGTGCTGGCTGTGTATACACACACGTGTGCTGGCTGTGTATGCACACACGTGTGCTGGCTGTGTATACACACACGTGTGCTGGCTGTGTATACACACGTGTGCTGGCTGTGTATACACACACGTGTGCTGGCTGTGTATACACACACTTGTGCTGGCTGTGTATACACACACGTGTGCTGGCTGTGTATACACACACGTGTGCTGGCTGTGTATACACACACGTGTGCTGGCTGTGTATACACACACGTGTGCTGGCTGTGTATGCACACACGTGTGCTGGCTGTGTATGCACACACGTGTGCTGGCTGTGTATACACACACTTGTGCTGGCTGTGTACACACACACGTGTGCTGGCTGTGTATACACACACGTGTGCTGGCTGTGTATACACACACACGTGTGCTGGCTGTGTATACACACACTTGTGCTGGCTGTGTATACACACACGTGTGCGTGCTGTGTATACACACACACGTGTGCTGGCTGTGTATACACACACGTGTGCTGGCTGTGTATACACACACACGTGTGCTGGCTGTGTATACACACACGTGTGCTGGCTGTGTATATACACACGTGTGCTGGCTGTGTATACACACACTTGTGCTGGCTGTGTATACACACACGTGTGCTGGCTGTGTATATACACACGTGTGCTGGCTGTGTATATACACACACGTGTGCTGGCTGTGTATATACACACACGTGTGCTGGCTGTGTATACACACACTTGTGCTGGCTGTGTATACACACACACACGTGTGCTGGCTGTGTATACACACACTTGTGCTGGCTGTGTATACACACACACGTGTGCTGGCTGTGTATACACACACACGTGTGCTGGCTGTGTATGCACACACGTGTGCTGGCTGTGTATACACACACTTGTGCTGGCTGTGTATACACACACGTGTGCTGGCTGTGTATACACACACGTGTGCTGGCTGTGTATATACACACACACGTGTGCTGGCTGTGTATACACACACGTGTGTGCTGGCTGTGTATACACACACACGTGTGTTGGCTGTGTATACACACACACGTGTGTTGGCTGTGTATACACACACACGTGTGTTGGCTGTGTATACACACACACGTGTGCTGGCTGTGTATACACACACACGTGTGTTGGCTGTGTATACACACACACGTGTGTTGGCTGTGTATACACACACACGTGTGTTGGCTGTGTATACACACACACGTGTGTTGGCTGTGTATACACACACACGTGTGTTGGCTGTGTATACACACACACGTGTGTTGGCTGTGTATACACACACACGTGTGTTGGCTGTGTATACACACACACGTGTGTTGGCTGTGTATACACACACACGTGTGTTGGCTGTGTATACACACACACGTGTGCTGGCTGTGTATACACACACACGTGTGCTGGCTGTGTATACACACACACGTGTGTTGGCTGTGTATACACACACGCGTGTACACGTGTGTTGGCTGTGTATACACACACGCGTGTACACGTGTGTTGGCTGTGTATACACACACGTGTGCGTGCCTGTGCCTGTTGCAGGTTCGCGAAGCTGCTGCTGCGGCTGCCCGCCCTGCGCTCCATCGGCCTCAAGTGCCTGGAGCACCTCTTCTTCTTCAAGCTCATCGGAGACACGCCCATAGACACCTTCCTCATGGAGATGCTCGAGGCTCCTCACCAGCTCACCTGAGCCACCGAGGAGGAGGGAGGAGGAGGAGGAGATGGTGACGGTGGTGGTGACGGTGGTGGGTCGAGGCGAAGGTGGCGACGCAAGGGGAAGGTGGTGAAGGATGCGTGAATATGGCGGCGTCCACGGGAAGGAGGTGTGGGACTTGCTGCTGTTGGTGGTGGTGGTGTGAGTTGAAGGAGGTTGTTGTTTGCCCGGTGGTTGGTGGTGGCGGCAGAGGCGTGGAGGCGGCGGTCGAGCGGGTGGAGCAAGAGGTTTTGAAAGAGAAGGATGAGGCGGTGGGGGCGGGTGGAGGAGGAGGAGGAGGAGGAGGAGGGGGGCGGGTGGCGTGGGGCGCTTAACGAGGCGAGGGAGTTTTCGGTCGAGTGAGCCGCGGTGGTAGATTGAGGTGGTTTCTCTCGGCCAACTCCGCCGTCCGCCACCGGGAGTCGATCTTCCGAGACTCCCGTCGGGGCCGTGGAGTGTCTCTCCTCGGTGCCCGCCCCACCGCCGCTTTCTTCCCTCGCCCCCCCCCCCCCCCCCCACTACGCTTGAGCCTCGCTGCTCACGTTGACTGGCGCGCGGTGGCTAGGGGACGTTAACTACCTCGTCCGGTATACAGGAGGGTAAAACTACCTCGCCCGGTATACAGGAGGGTAACCTGGGTTGCGATCCCGACCCTGACCGACGCCTGTTGGAGTTGGCGTCTCTCCCCTCTCCCCCCCTCTCCCTCCCTCTCCCCCTCCCCCCACCCCCCCCCGGGTATGTCCCTTCCACGTTTTAGAATCGGGAGTATTTGGCTGCTATAAATGTTCGCGTGATTTTGATTTAAGGCTTTCGTGACTGCAGTCATTCATATATTCATGGTTCTTTCGGTAAAGTCACGTTGAAGGGAAGCAATAAAGTAATAAAAATATATTGTTTAATATATATTTTATCGTTTCCCTTCAACGTGACTTTACCGAAAGAACCATGAATATGTTCACGCGATGATGATGATAAAGCCACTTTCCTGCGATGTATAGAGCTACGCAGCTCCAGTGGGCCTGACCTGACAAACTGAATATGTTAAAGAGGCGTAACTTTTACGCTCCATCCTCACCGATGAGATATTGGCGCTCGAAATGTAACGCACCCGAAAGGACGTTGCAATCAAAACCTGTACCCTAAAAGGGCGACCAACGTAGAATTGAGAAGGAAAGGGTTGCACGTGGAAGGACGACTTTGATTCGGGCAGCGATGAAAAGGAAACCGCTCCGCTGGCTGCGCGTGGAGGGGAAAAAACGCTTGGAGAATAATCCACGCGAACATACCTCGGGCGTCGGGGTCGGGCTCGAACCCACGACCTCCTGATGGCATCTCCTGGGCACCGCGGGTAGCCGGGCGAGGGACCGGGTGGATGTGGGTGGGTGGGTAGACGTGTGGTGAACGGCGGAGGCTTGGAACAGAGAAACGAAGTCTTGAAGGGGGCGGTGTCCAGAGCCATCGTGACGTTGCCCTTGGCTGAGGACGTCGTTCCGATGGCCGATGAGGAGGCGAACGAGGTGGACGTGATCCAGCGCCTCGCGCCGCACCTCCTCCGTCATTCCTTCAACCTCCCCCACCCACCCACCCACCGCCAACCCACCACCACCTCCCGTCACCACCACCGCACGCAACACCACCAGCATCACGCCCCCCCCTCCCAGGCTCGCGCGGGCTGTCGACGGGAGAGGGGTCCTTGGTCCGACAGAGCGCGGCGATTGGCCGTGATCAAACCAGGTGGTTTCTCGACAACGGTTCTCTGTGAAGGACAGTGCACTCGGTTTTATCGTCATCACGGCCGATGTCCCAATGCTTTACTTCCCCGACTGGAGCGACTCTTGGGATCCTCCCTACCTCCCTACCTACCTACCTCCCTACCTACCTCCCTCTCTACCTCCCTCTCTACCTCCCTCCCTCCCTACCTCCCTCTCTACCTCCCTCTCTACCTCCCTCCCTCCCTACCTCCCTCTCTACCTCCCTACCTCCCTCTCTACCTCCCTACCTACCTCCCTCCCTCTCTACCTCCCTACCTACCTCCCTACCTACCTCCCTCCCTCTCTACCTCCCTACCTCCCTCTCTACCTCCCTACCTCCCTACCTACCTACCTCCCTCTCTACCTCCCTCTCTACCTCTCTACCTACCTCCCTCTCTACCTCCCTCTCTACCTCCCTCCCTCTCTACCTCCCTCTCTACCTCCCTCCATACCTCCCTCCCTCTCTACCTCCCTCCCTCTCTACCTCCCTCCCTCTCTACCTCCCTCTCTACCTCCCTCCCTCTGTACCTACCTCCCTACCTTTCTCTCTACCTCCCTACCTCCCTCCCTACCTCCCTCCCTACCTCCCTCTCTACCTCCCTACCTCCCTCCCTCTCTACCTCCCTCCCTACCTACCTCTCTACCTCCCCCTACCTCCCTCTCTACCTCCCTCTCTACCTACCTCCCTACCTCCCTACCTCCCTCTACCTCCCTCTCTACCTCCCTCTCTACCTCCCTCCCTCTCTACCTCCCTCTCTACCTCCCTCTCTACCTCCCTCCCTCTCTACCTCCCTCTCTACCTCCCTCCCTCTCTACCTCCCTCTCTACCTCCCTCCCTACTTACCTCCCTCCCTCTCTACCTCCCTCTCTACCTACCTCCCTTTCTACCTCTCTCCCTACCTCCCTCCCTACCTCCCTACCTACCTCCCTCTCTACCTACCTCCCTCCCTACCTCCCTCTCTACCTCCCTCTCTACCTACCTCCCTACCTCCCTACCTCCCTCTACCTCCCTCTCTACCTCCCTCTCTACCTCCCTCCCTACCTCCCTCTCTACCTACCTCTCTACCTACCTCCCTCCCTACCTCCCTCCCTACCTCCCTCTCTACCTCCCTCTCTACCTACCTCTCTACCTACCTCCCTCTCTACCTACCTCCCTCCCTCCCTACCTCCCTCTCTACCTACCTCCCTACCTCCCTCCCTCCCCCCGAGGAGGCTTCATCAAGACATCCCTCGCGGGGGAGTTTTCTTAACGAAATCTGTTTTTTCGTCCCACAAGTTTTGCCCCGCGCATTTTTATTTATTCTCCACAACTGCAGATTTTTCCTCCCAAAACGCGCGCGTTCAGTATTTTTTTCTTATTTTTCTTCTAATTTTTCAGCAATTCTTCCCATCCCCCCCCCCACCCCCCCCCCATTTCCTTCCTACGAAGTCCCGATTGCACCGTCCGGCTTCAAATCTGGACCCGCGCAGAGCAGTGCCAATTCTTTTGCGTGTTGGGGAACGGCCCACCCAAGCGGACAACGCCGAGTTACTTCCGAGCGATCCCGCGTCGTGCGCGCGCCGCCTGTAGTCCAAGTTTGGTGGGGGTTGGGGGCAGCACTTTCCCACGCGTCCGTCCACCTACCCACCCACGCCCACATTTTAAACGTATGCGCATATTTCAGAGGCGTAAAAACTGCACTTAAACCACCTTCCGTCGCACCGGCAGCGTGGGGCTCTCCCGACGAGAGAGAGAGAGAGAGAGACCAAGGGACCCCCCTCCCCCCCCTCCCGTCGCACCCGTCCGACACAACCCACCCCCCTTTTGCATCCCCCTCGCTTTAATTCTGCACCCACCCATCCACCCACCCACCCATCCACCCATCCCCAAACCCGACACAGAAACCTAATTGCTCGGACATCTTTAAAGAAAGATCTCGAGCTGCTTTTACTTACTGCGACGCAAATCGTGAACGGGGGGTGGGGAGGATGTGACCCACCAGAAAGCGGGGAGGGGGAGGGGCGGACACGCGCCCCCCCACTGTCGGTGCCCATCGCCACCTCTGCGCTAAGCTGCCCGCCGTCTCGTCGCCGCCGCCAACCGTTGGGTGGTACAGCGAATCGGGGTGCGGGGAAGGGGGCGGCCACCCCCCTCCCCCCCCCACGCGCTTCGGCCCTCCCACCGAAGCCCCCCCCCCCCCCCCGCCGCCACACGGCGGCAGTTTTAAAAAAGCTCTCCTGTAAATATAAATGAATATTAAAGTATAGATATTGCCGGGACGGTCCCCCGTCGCCTAGCGACGACGAGGTGCGGAGCGGTGGCGGTGTCTCCGATTTCCCCCACCCGCTCCCCCCCCCCGCCCCCCCCCCCACCCTCTCATGCCGCGCCTCTCCTCGTGCCGCGCCCGCCATTGGGCCCGGCGCGTCCGTTCACCCCCACGGTGCGTCCGCTGTTGCTGCCGCCGCCGCTGCCACAGCGGCGGCGGCCCGTGTCGGGGGTTGTCCGAGCGCTGCAACGCGATAGTCCGGACGTCCCGACGAAATCCGGCGGATCGGCCTGGACGAAAAGTAAAGGGGCGTTCGTCTCTCTGCCCGTGTGGTGCGGTCTTGCGACTCGTGGGGGGGGGGGGGGGGTGGGGGGGGTGGGTGGGTGAGGTCTCTCGTGCATGGGTTCTGCTCCCGGTCGCGATCCGTCGCTTCGTCGAGGCTCGGTCGCTCGCGTCGATTCGTTGGCGAGCGATGCACGGGTCGAGTAAATCCCATTGGTTAGTGGAGCGTCGTGTCGAACGCACCCCACCCAGCCCCACCCTCCACACACACCCCCCCCCCCATCCCTCCACACCCCCCTTTTTTAATTGGCCAACATCTTTTTGCACGGTCGGTGCTTCGGCTCGCGGTCCCGATTTTCCCGCGCACCACAGCCGCCGCCTGGCTAGCCAATCCGGAGGGCCGTCGCCCCGGGTTTGATTCCGTCTCCCGGCGGTGCTCAAGTTGAAACAACGGGGGGAGGGGGGGCGGGGGGGGCGGCAGGTCTCTCAAATCTCCTCTCACCGCCGCCTCTGTCCACCCAGCAGCAGCAGCAGTAGCAGCAGCGTGGCGTGCACCCGCGAGTCGCTTCGGCGAGAGCACGTATTGCGGGGAGGTTAAGGTACGGGGGCCTAGTCCCCCCACGTCTTCAAAAGGTCAGCGGGGGGAGGTGGGGGGTAGGGGTAGGGGTAGAAAGAGTAGGCCGAAGGTTGGTTTGCCCCACCCCCCTTCCCCGCGCCTAAAATATCACAGGCTTCCCCAGGGCGCGTCTCTCTGGTGCAGCGGGTGGAGTGGAGGCCCTTGGGCCCGCCAGCAGGGGGCGTGAGAGCGAGGAAAAATGCACGTTGGGGGGGGCGGCGTCTTATCGTTGACGCGTGGACGGTGTGCCGCGCCTCCCTTTGTGACGTCACCACGGTGATGTCACTGGAGGCGGGCGAGCGCGGGGGGCGGCGCGTGGCGGCCCGCGGTAGCGAATTGGAAGTTTTATTTGGAGCGGTGGGGTGGGGGGGGGGGGGGGTCGCGTCATCCTTCA